GCGGATGCAGGCCGGTAAGCCGGCACAAAAGCAGTAGGAGCAGTAGTAGAAGCGGGGAGCATGCTGTCATCTCGAGCCCCACTAAACGGGGTTGCAGCTCAGGCCGCTGCCGCCACAACGTATCCGCCACAAAAAGAACTTCATGCACTCCCGAAGCAGACAAAATGGCTCGTGATGGGCATTTCATGTGAGAAAAATCGGGAGAATCACCGCGGCGCCCTCCTATGCGCGTATCACTAGCAAGGTCCCAGTCTCGTGAGCGACGAGCGAAAGCATCATGAGCCGGCATCCCGCAGGTAATCGCCAATAAGGGCGAAGTCTAAATTCTCGTGGGTGGTGAGACCTAACAACAAGCAACGTGGTGGTCGTGAGCAAAGCGTGCCTCGGCGCACGAAAAGGGAAGAATCGCGTCCAATTCTCTCTTACCGTGCCTGCCAGATTGACGCCAAGTTTAAAGGAATGCCCGCCCGACGGTGGCTTGCCTCCTAGCTGTAGCAGATGTAGATTCTGCCGTAGACACTCTTGTCCACGAGCACGTTGAGATGGGAAGGTTGCTTGTTATTGCAGAAGCGGGTCTGCTACAGGTCTGAGGTGAGGCGGATTGCCCTGAACCTGGGGGCACGCAGATAGCTAAGTCCCGATGGGGTACGTCCTAAGAGGGTATACCTCCTGACGTCCCCCATCTTAATATAGACCGACTGTGTACCCTATCTGTGCCATACAGCAACACTCCTTAACAATGGTGTAAGAGTAGTGTTGACAAATGAACGACCTGAAAGTAAATTGTACGATTTTTTTTTTAAATAAACTCGCGGACCAGACAGGAAGTGACCAAGTGCGGGCGTGGTGGCTGTCAATCAACAATCCTGTCCATCCAGATACATATAATGATGATAACAGAACCAGCACCTCCACTGGGCGTGTGTTTGTGTGTGGGTGCGGTGTCACACGGTGACCTATCCTGGCCTCTGATCTCGACCAGTGTTGTTTTGTTGCCATTTTGTAGTCCAAATATCATCGCGCGCGAAACCATGGGGAAAACACGATTTTGAATATAACAACAACGAAATACACGAAGAAACCTCGGAGTAGGCGGCAGGGATTTGCTCATTGCTCCCTCGCATCAGCCATGGTATCGTTGTCGCAACCTCTCAGAGCCCAAAACAATATCTTGTATTCACGCTCAAAAAAAAAAACTCGACCAATCGGATCACGCGATGAAAGGGTTCATACGCCCCCCCCGACATCATGTATACACCCGTCCAACGAAGAAGCTTCGCCCACCAAACTCTCATTCAGTTCTACTTGATTGGGGGCGGCCCTCCGGACTGAAGTACCAGCGACACGGAAAGGGGAGGGTGGTGCTAAGCTTGCCATTGATCCAATCAAAGCCAAGTGCGGTGGCATTCCCTAAACGTTCCCCTCCGCGAAAACCAACGACGCGGAATGTGCGCGGAACATTTCCAAGGAGGACGTTTGTCAAACTGTTGGTGGCACAGCAGCTCAACGCACCAAACAAACCGTCGTTGTACGACACCCCGTGACAAGCCAACACAACGAAGGCACGCCCGCCCAGCTGACAGCTTACCGAACCCCCCGTGGGATTTCGATCTGCACGACAACGCGGCAACCTACTTGTTGTTGGTGTTCTTCTTCAACCACTCTTTGTACAAACTGTTGTGCGACTTCAGGATCGCACCCGCCTCGCGCTCCGTCACGTAGTCTACTCCCTGGGCATCCTTCAGGGAACGACCAGAGGCGGCGTTCCCCACCCACGGCGACAGGGCACCCTTGTGGACAGTTTTCACCTTGGCCCCGACCCGCCGGCGGATCGTGTGCGACCTCAGGAGGGCGACCCACGCATCCGGGGCCGCGCCGGGTCGCAGGTCCGGGACTGCGCCCCCGCCCCACTTCTCGATGTGCTCGCACCTCTCACCCTCCTTTCCCGCTTCCTGCACGCACCTCACATGGGTGAAGCCTGGATTCAACCCCTTGCGCTGTCTCATGACGTGCTTGAGGGTTAGCTCCGCGTTACTCTTCCCGGCACCCAAATATCCACTGCCAGTGCCCCCTTCCGTCCCCCCGTGTACTCATCCTCGCCTTCGTTGTTCAAAGAGTCAGACGAGAGGTGAACAAAGCACGTAGGTTTTTGACAATAAAAATCGTCGCAACAAATGTACTTCGTGAAGAAGTAAAAGGACCCATTAGATTAAAAAATTAACCTCACATGAGGAAATACTGCAAACCTCGGCCAGTTATTCGGGGCCGAAAATGAAAGTGGGGCCTTCATCCGAATTTGAAGTCTACATCATTTCTTGCGTTTGGGCAAGACATTTCCACCAACAACAACAACCACAGCAACACCTCCGACAACTTCCAACACACACAGCAATCTGCGGAAACGACGACAACAGCACAAGTGGCATTAACAGTGGTGTATTCGCAATTAATTGCCCTAATCCTCCGTTGACCAACTGAACAACAACAACAACAACAACAATAACAACAACAACAACAACAACAACGACAACATAAATATTAACATGTCGTCTTGCCTCCGGTCCTCCCTGGAGTGCCCGAGATCCGTGGGACGACGAGTGAAAGCCGGGATGGATGTAATAGCACCAAGTACACGGGGAGAGGAGAGGGTTAGTTTCAGGAAGGATACTTCCACGCAATACAACACAAACAGAACGTCTCNGACAACTTCCAACACACACAGCAATCTGCGGAAACGACGACAACAGCACAAGTGGCATTAACAGTGGTGTATTCGCAATTAATTGCCCTAATCCTCCGTTGACCAACTGAACAACAACAACAACAACAACAATAACAACAACAACAACAACAACAACGACAACATAAATATTAACATGTCGTCTTGCCTCCGGTCCTCCCTGGAGTGCCCGAGATCCGTGGGACGACGAGTGAAAGCCGGGATGGATGTAATAGCACCAAGTACACGGGGAGAGGAGAGGGTTAGTTTCAGGAAGGATACTTCCACGCAATACAACACAAACAGAACGTCTCCAACGAACACGACGGGCGGGGGGAATAGGCTCAATCCAACCATGCACCAGTTGCTCGCTCCTAAGGCATCATCGCGTTCTGTTCGATCGACTGTCAAATTTTTATTCCAAAAGTCAAATAATACGCTTTGGCGCCAACAACAACAACAACAACAACTGTACGAGTTCAACGAAGATACACGATTCCACGGAATTTCCTCCACGTGACCGCTGCTCGTCGGTGAATGTCCCCCCGACCTTTTGGTTGAGTCCGACTGACTCCGGGCACCACACCAGCCCCCCGAGGACGTCGAGGGCAAGAATCGCCTCGTGTAACTCCCTCGAGGATCTGTAGGGGTCACCCATCCTCCACACATAGGTCTCGCTTCCCACCGTGTCGATGGCGTCCGCTCCGACCAGCACTAGCCCCGCCGGGACGTTCCACGCGGGACCGTCGTTCGCCACGCGGCCGTTCAACTGATGAGGTCGTCTCGCACGGGCTGCTATTGGCGGCTTCTGCAGCCCTTTGGTGTACTTGAGGGCGGAGGCAGACAGCCGCTCGCCAGAGATGAGCAGGCGCAACGCACCGTTGTCCCACTCGTGCCGGTTGACTTTGGCCCGGACCGACCCGCAAAATGCAGACCCGACGCCCATCTCGGACTCCCACTTCCGGGTCATGCCGATCGTTGTCTCTTGTGAATGAAACTCGTGGGCGTGCACGTAATTCACCTGCCTCCCTTAGTCCCTGCGCGGATCGAATTTTTCGATCCCGCCCTTCTCCATCTCGTTGTCGGTGAGAGGGCACTCGCCCATCTTGTCGAGGGCAAGCACCCGGTGGAGATCGTACTCCCGACACGCTTCCCGAAGGACGTCATCCGTCGACGCCTCGCCCCCTATGCCCTTGGCCGTGGCGGCTTCCCGCGCGATGTCCGCCAACTTGGCGCGGTTGCTAGCGAACGAGGGGTGATCCACGGCCGCCTTCACCCTCTCGAACAACTCGGCCTGGTGGGGTTCCAAAGGAGCGTGCGCGACCTAGAGATGCGCAAGTGGGGAGGGAGGGTCAAACAGGCAGGAAAAGCGGGCGACGCTTTACCCAAGCAATGGAACGACTGAAACAACGCGAGGGGGTTGGGCTACAGCGCGATAGATTATCTCAAATCCCCCGAAAAATGTTATTTCCCTACGGGCAAAGCGTTGGAGGGCCCTGGAGTAGGCGCCCCTGTTTTGGTTTCGCTCCAAAGAGGGTGACTGGTCCCCATGTCCCCACAAAATAGTCGACATGGACATCTGATTGCTCATCGTGAATTATTAAAAAAATTATTCGCAATCATTGTCTGTTCCCTGTTGCACCTCTGTATGAGGATGGGAGAACCCGTGTACGATGCGAGGTCGGCTACGAATCCTCGATCCTGGGCCGTGTATGGTATGGCCGTGGGGTAAGGGCGCACGCGAGACGACGCTATGTGGCCCTCTTGCCGCGGGGCCTGTGCTGATAGGGCCGCGCCCCTCCCTTCGTCGGAGCAGGCGACTTGGGAACAAGTACAAGATTGTGTGACTTAGGGCGACAGTGAGTGTGTGATAAGGACTGAAACTTCTCACCAGCCCCTCGAAAGAGGAAAAGCGGCAGGTTGGCTGAACCATACGACATACGATCACTCAAAAAAAGTACTTTCCCGCCCCGCTCGCGACCACCAGCCCGCCTCGCACCGTCGGCACCGCCACCCTGGCTTCTGTTGGTGAGATCGACGACGTCTGGGCGGCTCGAACCGCCGCAGCCGCCGCCTTTGCCGCCCAACGACAAGAGGCTGTTCCTGGTCGCGGCCTCGATGTCAGCAGTCTGCAAGGGAACGGGATATGTCACGCTTTAGTCGACATCGCTGTGGGTCACCAGCATTGCTAAACAGAATATCTATGCACGGTAGTCACGCGGAGTACGGTGGGTCTTCAACGTGCTGCGCAATATTTGGGTGATGTCAGCCAGCACAACACCGATATCAAAGGGAAGTGGAATCTAATCATACCGATCAATTTTCCTCCTTTGTTTCTTACATCGAAGCCTGGACTGGGGGGTGCAGCGCGGGCCCACTTGCTCGGTTTGTCGCCCCTCCCTTGGGCTTTGCCCTTCACCCGCGATCTTGGGGGCGTCGACGCATCGTCATTCCCTTCATCACCGGTCTGAACGTTCAGTATAAGAGTGGAAGGCTGGATAGTTCTTCGGTCTGGACAATACTCGCATGCGTTCAGTCAACGTCGTCGTCAACACCGTGTTTTACAGCAGCATTTTAAAAAACGTACCATCTTCGTTTTGATAGCACCAAGTGGTAGGCGAAGAGCGGATGAGCGGAGTGATGAAATGGGGGCGAGGAGGTGTGCATGACAAGTTGACACAAAAGTGCAAACCTACGCGAGGCTTGTTTGGTGTTTGTGAGGGAAATAAACAATCGTCGCGAAAATGCAGGTATACTGTAGCACCGTACTGAAGAATAAAAGCAAGGAACGTAAGCATCGACAGCAGTATATCGTGAAATAGACGCCAATCACATCTATCGACATCCAAAGTCAGCTCCCTGCCGACGAAATCCGACCCCATTGACGCCCCTAATCTAGCCACTTTCCTCGTACCTTCAACACGTCCCCGACGAAGAGTGACGACGACGGAGCCGACAGATCGCTCCTCGTTCCTTCGGCGGGGACAGATCCCCCCAATACGTCACTGCTGCCCCATGGTTTCCACTCACGATTCCCGTTGCCGGCGGTTGGTGATGCTTGGGTGCCCCCGGCACGTGCATTTTCGGAGACGTCGGGGACGCCAAACGGTTGCTGAGGGGCTCGGGCGGGAGCAGGGGCAGGGGCAGCCAGGACGCACTTGAGGAAGTGTCAACCAAGCTTTGTTGTTACTGCGGCCGTCGGGAACCACTGGTCTCGGTATTCATGTGGCAAAGGGGGCCAACATGAACGCTTGCTACTCTCGCGTGAGAGTGCTGCTGCACACGCTAGCACGCTGTGTCATTTAGCCTCCTCATCCTCCAAATGCACACGCACCTTGAAGAACGTGCTCAGTCTCGGGGTGCCCTTTGCGGCCTTCTCCAGAGCCGCACTCTTCCTTGATTTCCTCATCTTTGGCGACGTTTGTCAAACAAAGACAACGCGAACAATTTAGACGTAGTGTCAGAAAGATGCGTACGGTGGTTGGTGTTTCAACTCCCAGGTCGACTTGACAATGACTTGGAACATCAACCTCGGTTATCACTCGCATTCACGTCAAGACTCGGACGACACTGGACTATCCCCAAGTCTGGGCCTTAAACCTGACGTTCAATGTCACAAATCTGAGCCCGGCCTGGCCGTTTGTGGGTGCGGACACGTTGCAAGCAAACGCCGCCCCCATTTCTCGATTACTTGGTGGTACGAGCAAAGAGAAGCGACCGTATTTTTTTCTGAATCGCAGCCCATACAGTGGCAGTAGTCTGGACGGATGTCACACGCATCCATACCACATCCCATCAACGAGAGGAAGGCGGGCGGGTCGTTCGGAGGAGAGAATACTTATACACACCGTCACACACACATAAGAAGTTCTCTTTTCGTGTCCACCGAGCGACGCGTCAATGTATCCTGCTACCGCCGCCGTGCTTACCCCGATTTGAATCAATGGGGCAGAACCTAACGGCTGGGCGATGCAACATACGACATAGTGTTATTGATGAATTGATTTGGCAACGTAGAAGAGTCACGATAAGGGCCCGCGAACTCGCCCCAGCTGTCGCCAACCTTACTGGGCTGCTCAGATGGGGATGCGTCGATGTGCGTTCGGCAATTTCCGTGGTGAGGGAGCCAACTCGCAATGTAAATCGAGAAGGGGGCACAGCAGCTGAGCAAGTTCCAGAACAAGGTACAAGTTTTGGTTCGGCCTTTCAGCATATCTATTGAAACACTTTCATCTCATGTGCGTGCCTGCGTGTGGGCTACAGCTGTACCACTCGCGGTTGTACGGACAGCTGATCTGTTCCACGAGGAATCTATGGTAGCTGCTGCTGGTGATGGAATGCTGTGGTGTAACAGCAGCAGGAGTCGAAGACGACCATGCCGTCTTCGTGTTGATACACCGTGCCAATGTCAATTTATCCTTTCTCTATTGGCTATTCGCCCGAGGGCACAACCAACCCCAGTCAGTGGATGGTTTGGCGACATCGATCTGTCGTCGTGTGGGTGCGATAAGATCACAAGAGGATTGTCGACCGTACTAGGTATTCCTTCCACCGCCACAATTGCTGCTTGATGCGGTGTGGTGTGTGTGTGGTCCTTACTGATCCCGGCGCCCGCCGAGAGACCACACTGCCGTTGATGGTGACAAAAAAAATCATCGAGTGAATTATTCTCTGTTTCGACATAATTTCGTACACGAATCAAACCAGTCACTCGGTCATCCACGGCAATTTGCATTCTTTGAGCTCATGTTCAAGGGCGAGGTATCGACCGTGGGTGACGTCATCGGTCCATCACGTAATTATCGCCTTTCTTTGGAACGTTCCTTAAAGAAATTGGCCAATCAATTAATTGCGGGCACCTTTTCTCTCTACAGTGGAACCGATTGTCCCGCCGATTTCAGTTGACCGGCCATAACTTCATCAATAATGTTATTTATTATTTGTATTGATCTCCATCGCAAATGACACAAGAGTTGTTCAGGGACCAAATCGATTTGAGACGTTCCTGAGAATTCGTGGTTTTCGTATAGGTTTTTTCAGGCGTTTTCGGGAGGGAGGGGATGAAACGTTTCGTCAAATATCTCGATATCCACTATCGTAATCATGCCGGGGTTTTTTTGTTTCTCGGTTGATATCGGCGGGGTTTGAGCAGGCGAACGCGATGGCGCCCTCAAAAAAAAAAATCACACTCTTAACAAGTAGATATACGCATTTGAAGGGGGGCACAAGAGATTGTACCCCCCTTTTCTGGTCGCAAAACATATCGTTTAACGCTTGATATTTCGTTGTTTTCGCTTCATCGTTGGGAAAACCCTGTCGGGAAAACCCTGTATTTACACTCGACGACACTCCCTCGCACTCNATCGGCGGGGTTTGAGCAGGCGAACGCGATGGCGCCCTCAAAAAAAAAAATCACACTCTTAACAAGTAGATATACGCATTTGAAGGGGGGCACAAGAGATTGTACCCCCCTTTTCTGGTCGCAAAACATATCGTTTAACGCTTGATATTTCGTTGTTTTCGCTTCATCGTTGGGAAAACCCTGTCGGGAAAACCCTGTATTTACACTCGACGACACTCCCTCGCACTCCTTTTTACATTTGCCAAAAACTAGTCTTCTACATACAGTACATCACGCCCAATACTACCGATCTTATCGACCGGGAGGGAAACGCAGCCGTTCGAAAAACAAACAAACACAGACAAAAAACTTCGTGGACAAACCAAAACCGACAGAAGCAATCATTCTTTCGAACCCCATGCAACGTACCGACGCTTAGCATACGATTCTTCGGGTTAACGAACTCGGATGGAGCCGTCCTAAGGTGCGACTTGTATTTCTCTTGCGCCTCTACCACCTCGGCGCCCGTATNTTGGGGTTAACGAACTCGGATGGAGCCGACCTACGGTGCGACTTGTATTTCTCTTGCGCATCCACCGCCTCGGCGCCCGTAAGCCCTGCGTCGTACACCGTGTGGAAGTTGGCCACCTTCCGGCAGAACTTTTGAACGATGTCATGTAGGCGCAAGTTTTCTACCCCGAAGCTCTTGGAAACGTTCTCTCGCAAGCAGGCGATAGTGTATTTGCAATTCCTGCGGACCCACCACTTGGATCTACCCCACACAAGCCCGATCGGGTTCAACTCGCAATGGAACTTTGGAAGCATGAGCGCAACCCCTCCGTGGCGCTTCAATAGAACCTCTAGACTAGAGTCGACGTTCGCGAAATCCTTTTGCGCGCGCAACACCGCCGGCATGCTCATCTTCGGGTTAGGCTCCTGACCC